AGTATGGAAAGTAACATCCTGTGTACAAAGGTGGGCACTTTCGTAATGATTTATTTAAATATTCAGGCTTCTCTTTTATCAAATTGGTAATCACAGGAGTCGGAAAAAATGCGTATTTTATTTTTTAACTTACAGGTTATATGTTAACTGATAGTTTACCTTCCATAATAAGCGCTGGGCTGTACCTTACCCCGATTGATTTATTTGCTATTTCTTGATGCAGAATTGTGTGTTAGGACTTCGTAGATGTTTAAGAACAGTGCTGTCTCCTGTCCCTTAAGCTCTCCTGTGTTTACTCCAGTCTCCACCCTGCCTGTACTTATGGTGAATTTCTGTGAGCTTTTCCTATGCCAGTGTTGTCATTGAGCTTAAATGTCCCCTCCATCTTCTTCTTTGGCAGCTGGGTCTTCCGCATTCCCCCTGGATGAATTTGGACAGGTCATATCCTCTCTCAGCCTTTAGTGTTTGTTGGCTTAAGCAAGACAAACCCTCATCATCTTGTCCTATGAAACAGGTTGTTCAGGTTCAGTCGCCTCATTTGTTTTTCTTCTGCGCTTGCTTGGATTAAGTTCGCTTGTACAGTTTTGGTCAGCCGTGTATAAGGTTGTGGAGATCAGGTCTCACCATTGGTTTGTACAGCAGCATCTCTAGGTTCTTTTTGTACCTTTCCAGGTCCTTTTATGGCAGTATTTTGCTTTGTTCATTCTCATAACTGCAGAAATTAATGGTCCTTATTCATTTTAATATGGACTAATGTTCCCTGTTCTCTTACATCCGTGGTTTCCAACTGATGAGCTCCCAGTCTTGGTGGCGAACATTCTTCTCAGTCCCTAATAACATCGTAAAATGTTATCCCGCTGCTGTTACTGGGCAATATTGCCAGTCCTGAAGATCATTGAGTTGTTCTGCTGTCATGTTCTTTTCCATATTTTTATTGATGATCCCCTTCAACTTTGTCAGCAGATTGTGCAATTAGGACACTTTCTTTTGGGTCTGCGTCATTAATGAAGGTATCAGTCAAAGTCTGTCCAAATGCCATCCTTGAACTAACTTCTGTCCCCCTTAACCGCTATGATTCTTGAAATAATCTTCACCATCTTTATCTAGCCCAGGAATTTCCAATGTATCTAAAGGCATACTGATACTTGTATTAGCTCAGCTGTATTTCCTAGGTCTTTACAATTAATTATTTTTACAGGCAGAAAATAGTGGGCTGGCATAGCACCATTTACCGCTGTCAGCTCTATTGCTTGTTGAATTCAGTTCTTCATTTACTACTACAGTTCTTTTATTCAAAACTTATCCTGAACCTTTGCATACTGTCGAGGTCTTGGGAGCGTGAATATCTAGATTCTCCCTCCTTCTCTAAGTACAAGTTTTAAATTTTCCATATTGCCACGCTTGGCTGGGAGATTGCTTTAACAGCCTTGCTACCAGAGCTGCTATTTCATGTGCCATTTCTTGTGGAGCGCTGGGATGCGTGCTGTCTGCTTTCACTGCCTTTGAACACATCAAAACATTTGAGTTTTGTCTCCACCTTGGTTGCGTATCTTTTTATAACCTCGTTCCTGTTAGACTCTTTGCCTTGCACCTATGTTCATTGTCCTTGTCCTTAATGAAAACTCTAACTTAGCTTTAGGGATGTAGCTGATTGGTTTTAATCTCTTGCCTATCCTTACAGCATACCCTCTTCCCTTTCCCTTTCTGGTCTCCTTTATTTGTGTGTCTGAAACATCGTTTGCTATTTTGTTTATCGTTTGCTGAGGTCTAGCACAGCTTGACATTTGGCAGTTCTTATTTTATCTCTGTACTACTTGCTGGCTTCTTGCTAACGAATCCTTTCCTCTCCATAATATGTAGACTCTTTAATTGTTCCTAATGTCCTTTTTGAGGTTAGTTCTGAGGATACAGCTTTCAAATAGTTCTGCATCTTTGACCTGGGAGATATACTTAGATGGCTGCTTTCCCATTCCTTATCTCCTTAGTCCACTTGATTTTACTGTCTGTCTTAATTACTCATAGTTAAAAAGAGTGAACTTTGATTCTCTTACAACACTTACCTCGTTTTATCCTTAATTTAATATGAATTTGCTTGTGTGCACTCAGTCTAAGGTAATTTTATGTCACCAGCTCTTCTTAATGTCCTTGTTACTTGCCAAAACAAAGTCTAAAATAGCATCAGCTCTTATTGTTAGAGACGCGTTTTGTGAAGAAGTCTGGCAGCAATATCGCATCCAGGAATATGTGGTCCTTACAATTTCTATTGGCTTGCTCTTCAGTTCATAGCTGAGAAACTTTTTTCCCAAAATTGACATTTTTCTGTCATCTTTCTCTCAATACCTATTGGTGTTGAATATCTCAGTCCTTTCTCATGTTTGCAATAGCAGTTCTTTGTTACTTTGCTATGGCTTTGTTGTCCTTCTGTAGGAAGCCCACCTGCACCTCCTTTTGCTGGAGATAGTGGTCAACATAGCATTCCTCCCTCCTTTCTTGCAGCAGCCCAGCAGTATTGCTCGTTTGAGTGCAAGATAAAACCAGTTTTCTTCTGCATCCTTTAACAACCGTTGGAGACTCAAGTCTGCATTTTGCGTTCCTAAAACTGACAAACAGCATGATGGTCTTCACAGAATCCCAGGGTGGTTGAGGTTGGAAGGGGCCTCTGGAGGTCATCTGGTCATCTGAACCTCCTCCTCAAACAGGGCCACCTAGAGCAAGTAGGCAGCTTTTGAATATCTCCAAGGATGAAGATTCCACAACCTCTGTGGGCAGCCTGTGCCAGTGCTCAGTCACCCTCACAGTAAAAAACTGTTTCCTGATGTTCAGACAGACCCTCCTGTGTTTCAGTTTATGCCCGTTGCCCTTTGTCCTGTCACTGGGCACCATTGGAAAGAGCCTGACTCTGTCCTTTTTGCATAAACTTCGCATAAACTCCCTTCAGGTGTTTATATGCATTGAGATCCACCCTGAGCCTTCTCTTCTCCAGGCTGAACAGTCCCAGCTCTCTCAGCCTTTCATCACTGGAGAGATGCTCCAGCCCCTTCACCGTCTTTGTGACCATTTGTTGGACACTGGCCTGTATGTCCATGTCTCTCTTGTACTGGGGAGCCCAGAACTGGACCCAGTACTCCAGGTGTGGCCTTGCCAGTGCTGAGTAGATGGAAAAGGATCACCTCCCTCAACCTGCTGCTAGTACTTTGTCTAATGCAGCCATTGCATGGTAAGCAAATACCGTTGGCCGCCTTTGCGGCAAGGGCACATTGCTGGGTCATGGTCGATTTGATGTCCACCAGGACCCCCCAGGTCCTTTCCTGCCAAGCTGTTTTCCAGCTGGGTGCTCCCCAGCACATACTGGTGCCTGGGGTTGTTCCTCCCCAGGGGTAGGACTTTGCACTTGTCCTTGTTGAACTTCATGAGGTCCCTGCTGGCCCATTTCTGGAGCCTGTCAGAGACCCTCTGAATGGCAGCACGACCCTCTGGTGTATCAGCCACTCCTCCCAGTTTGTTGTTGCCTGCAAGCTTGCTGGGGGTACACTCTGCTGCATCATCCAGACCATTAACGAAGATGTTAAAT